ACTGGGTTATTAAGGAGCTCAAATGTTACATCATAAGTCAAAAATGAGTAGATACATACTTAAATAAATAATTTATATAGGTAACTTGATTAAATAAACCACAAACTGATATAAAAAAATAAAGTTGAAACTGCAATAGATATAGCTCTTATTCGCGTGTACAAACATAACTTACAATTAGATTTTTAAATACATTTTATAAAGATTAGTGAATTAAGACTCATTGTAATACAAAACTACTAGAGGGGAAATGAAACCGATTATAAATCTTTACATTCAGATATGAAAGACATAAACGCTACTTCCACTTGCTACTGGTTTAGACATGTATGGACATGCTTTGAATGTAAAACAACACATAATATATATCTTTAAACAAATCGCTTCCTCAAATATGCTAACATTTACTTAGCTTTTACTTACAGATTTATCAAAATCGTTGTAGTATATTCCATTCTACAGTTTTATGGGTCAGTTAACGCAATGGGTAAGACATGGGTTTACGCAAAACCGCTTCGATGTGATGTTTTTTCTCCACACGTAAAATACCGCTTTCCTAAATCGCAAGTTTTTATGAAGCAATCAATTAGGTATAAATGAGATCTGGGCTACCATTCAATGTATTAGTAAAAAAGTTATATTTTATATATATTATTATTATAGTCGGGGACATGTGCAAATACGCGTAACTACCATTGGCTAATTCCGCATTTGTATTGGAAGCAGATTATCAGTATGATTGTATTTAAGCTGAAATATTTTCTATATTAACTATTTTTAAGGTTCTTTTTTTTCATAATTATTATCAAATTAAACAGTAAAAAATTAAAATTGCTATAAGTAGGCGGTTGGTCTTTGATATCAAAAAGTAGTTTTAAAAAATGCATTATTACTTTGTTTATCAGATTGTTTTTAAATTAAAAAACATAAACTTAAATGCTTTCATCTGACAGTTCTCACAGTTTATTTAAAAACAGGGCCCGCGGTCACGAAACTTTATTTTACGTGACCGTTTGTGTATCAAGTGGGAAATCATCATTTAATTATGTTATCACAGAATTCCCCTAAAATGTACGGACTCATCTATGGGAAAGATAACTCAAATATGACTGTAATTATAAGGAGAACGCGTTCGCGCATTTCGAAAGTAGATGGCGCTACTTCCGCCTGTCTAAGATTGATATATCCGGTCAAGAAAGTAACTGTACAAACTTTTTTATTTTATTATTTGATTGTAGAAATTTTTGTCACAATAATTCATGTATTGGTTTTGTGCAAATTTAGTGATTTTATTTGTATTAAAATTATTAACAACAATAAGCAGACAGCTCAATAACAAAGTGAGTAATAGTTTTAAGAAATGCACACAAGGAAATAATAAGCGTACTTTTTTGGTGAATCACTTAAATATAACATTTCATTCTTTTTTAAAAAACTAAAATCCTTACAAAGTATGTATGTACTTAAAATATTTTATTATTTTAATAATAGTTTGTCTAAACATTAAATATAGTTATATTACTTAAGTGGATGTCATTATTATTGATTTATTAACATCAGTATATTATTTTGTAATGGCAATTCATCATCGATACACTATTATCGACGCCATTATAATTATTTATCTCTTTCTTCTTCATATCAAGAAGAACGAGACGGGTTATAAACGTCAGTTTGCATATAAATTGCCGCTTTTTTTGTTTCACTGTCAAATAAAGGAAACTGTTGTAGAACGAGCCATGAGGATTTCTTGGCATCTCTCGATTATGTATGGTCGGTAAAATTTATTGTCTGTCCGTGAAGCAAACGGAGATACGTCCCGTTTAGCTCTTAATGACCGCTTGCGAAATATTTATACAACATCATATTATGCAAAACTATTATGTTGTACGAGCCTCGTGTCGCAACTGGGTGTATTTGTTCCATATTAATTTATAATTTTTGAGATCCAAGTTTTGAATTTCATAAGGAACTTGCAAATCACACGACAATCACGATATCCGGTCTTCGATCTGAGGGAATTTTATTAGCATTAATCTCTATTAATGGAATACCGACCTTATGTAATACAAAATAAAGCTTAATTTAAAAATTGTTGAAGTTAGTGTTTTGTTCATTTTGTACTGTTGAACTATAATGTGTCCTTATATAATTGTAATAACGGTCGAGTATTGTTTTTGATGGTGTTAAGGTTTATTGCTGTACTTATATCCATTTGATTTAAGCGGTTAGTGACTGGGGTCACACTTACTGAGTGGAATTGTGTGATTGAGTGAGTTATCAATGGTAGGTTATAGTAAAAATTGGCTTTGATTCATACACGAGTATACTGGTAATGATTTGCCGAACAATGTTATGTGAAATTTTGTAATACAATTTATGTACTGATTGAGTAAATTAAATAAGAAAAATATTAACTTTTAGGGAGAGACATTTTAGTGTCAAGAACTAGATAAATTTTGGTTAATCAAAAGTACGTAAAAATGACTAAATATTAGTCTTCTAATGTAATTGGTACATATGTATATTGTTTTATTATTTATGAAGAGCAAATAATTATTACAAATGAAGCAAAACGATAATGTTTCCGGTCCGTCGAGTGATTTACAACTATAGTTGTTGCGGCGCTCCTCTCAACATGATAACGTTTATTCATTATTAATTACATCATGAATATAATTTTATTTCAAAAAGTTGCTCCAAACTCTTAAACTTTGAAAATTTATTCAAAATCTTCTAAAATTATTCGATTCTAAAGAATTGTATAACATTTCAAATCCGCATAAAATCATGTGATCATTGAATATGAAATTCTGTAATGTTTTTATGTTGCAATTGATTTGAACTATGAGACGTGATGAACGTGCCTGATCTGTGCTAGAAATTAGAATGCGTTGCAGCGTTTTTTTTGGTGAAATCCTGAAAAATAAAATCGCTTATAAAATATTTTATAATCTGTATCTCAATATTGAGAATAATTTTTAATCTGTGATTGGAATGTGAGTAACTTTTTTTTATTGTATTATAATAATGGAATGCGTTTTTAATAAATAAACAAACGAATGATTCTGTAATCGTAAGGCAACCGGGACACCCGCTTAGCTGTTGACAGCCAACCTAATTGGTGTCAAATTGCCTCGTACTGAGTGCTCTATTTTGGATTTTAATTCCATTTCTTACAAATAATTTTATGATTTTATTTACATATATCACATACCTATAGTTGATCGAATCGTAGTTATTTTAATAGCTGATTTACTGTGTCTGTGACAAAACAAAGCGTGTAAGACGTACATACATATGTTGTGCTGTGGCGCCGGCCTTCGGTGACCGGTCATCGACCTCGCTTCCGTTCTTTACCATAGATAATTATGATTTTCTTTTAATTTTAAACAACATACATTTGGTCTGTTAGTTGTTCATGAAATCACTCAGTGTATGTATTATGAACATCCACTTGGTAGCCAGTGTGTTGTTTCTGAACCCATCAACAAGTCCACGAGCCGTGTTTATATGGAGCCTCTAATTGGTTCAGGCCCTTGCCCTACACCTGGTTTAACTTTATACCTGTTTACGGTTCACACTTCAAGTTCAATGCCTTCCCCACAGACTCGGCCTACCAATTGGTAGCGCTACCATATTACTTCATCTACCACGCCGGCCTCTGATTGTAGGTAAACAACAAATTCACTGACAGCCCAAATTACCTAAAACATGGGGCATTTTATTATTCAGGGATGTTTACTTTCTCACGTCATCGAGTGTCGACTGATATTAAAAATAGTGTTATCTGGTGTTGAAATTCATTTTGAACTTTAAGTCTTTATATTACGGTTGAAATTGTAATGGAATGTTATCTTGATGTGTTGTTGTCGATAATTTTTTTATCATGGAGTAGGAATTAAAAAAAACCAACTGTTGAATGAAAGTACTTTAGAATAATTCACGCTAAAATGCTTCCTGTTTTACATGTATGTACGCACTCATTATTATATTTATATTAAAAATACCATTTAAAATTTATAAACAAAACGAGTTAAAAAATAAGTTCTAGTAACTAATTTTAAACTGATGAGCTTCAACGCTAAAATTGACTGATAGACCCTCACTCGTTTGAAGGATGGTTAAAAAAGAGATCCTTTGAGTCATATAATACTTTATTATATTCCCTTCCTTCGGTAATTAAGGTTTAGCTTATAGTTTTATATTAATCTTCATAAATTAAAAGGGTTTTTTGATTTCTGTTCATTTTCGGTTATTTTCGTCAAATTTTCGGTTTACAATCATTAAAAACACATAAGTACATAAAGTAAATGTAATGATTTTATAATAAATGTAATATTTTATACTTTTTATTACATTTTACTAATAAATTCAACTATTCTCTTACAATATTGACCTCATACATAATACTTCATCTATATTCATAATACATTTATATGGATTGTCATCTCAATTATATAAAAAAATATTATTTATTTAATATTAAGACTAATAAAGTTATGTTATCGGGTACTTTTTCGTGTGACCTGTATAGTAATTATTGAAGCTTCACATTATAAACAACAAAGGCTAATATAATTTAACAGCGGACATAACCATACAATAAATTAAGTACAATTGTTGTGAACCGAAATAGTCTTTAAACACGTGACGTTTAAACTTTTATTACACGACGTGTTTATTTCAGTGTTTGAGGACCGTTTGAAATAACTTGTTGGTAATATTAAATTACAATATATCTTTGATTTTAATATAATAATCATAATACTAAATGATTTAGAGTAGATTACGAGTTAGCAACAAGAAAACGTTATTTCGAAACCACACTAATATTTTCATATTATTTATTTTGTGTTCCTACACCTAAAGAGATTTTAATCTTACGACTACATATTATTTACTATGTATTATATTATCAAACAGTAATAACATTTGCCTAATCAATTGCTCTTTTGAAATTTTACGTATTTATAAATTACTAGTCTTAAACGTAAAAGGTATAAGTGAGTCTCGTAAACGCCTACGTCTCGCTGGCAGCTTCAACCACGCGCAGGCGGCCCTTACATTAGACCTTGTTATTAGGGTAATTAATAGATATTCACAAATATTTGGTAGGTAAGGCATTCTACAAACGTATAAATATTCATTAAATTGATAAAATTTTAATTGATAAAACGACCTTGTCTTGTAAATATTGCAAGTTTTATTGAATGTACCATATTAGGGGGAAATGAATGATTGTAATATGAACAGATTCAGCTTATGCATGGTCGTAAAATAAGATATAAATATCAAAACATGAGCTTGAGGAATACTGTTAAATGATGCAATATATATAGTCGGTTAATGGTTGCTTTCAAATAGTGATTTTTATGATCACAGAAGTACTTATTATCGAGTGTTATAGAGGACGTGTCAGTTTGCTGACCGGCGAACGTTTTTCTCTCGTCTCCGTTTAACTGCGTCCCCAGCACCATTTTCACTCACCATTTGCATTTAGCTAGCTGGCTTTAATGTCTCCAGGTATGTAGGAAATGTAAGCCAAAACGCCGCATGATATTTGAAAAACTATTTTTATTGTATACAGAAAATGCGAAGGTATAATTCATTGGAGACATACAGAAGTTAACTAATGATATCGTACAAATGGCATAGCAACATCACCATTTCCATCTGTCTTCCACCGTCCGCAGCTAAAGGTCCTAAGTGCGCGCGTGTTGGAGATCAGTGAGTTCCTCGCCGGTTTGTTTACGGTACAACGCGGGCTATAATTGAGCGATGCGGGAGAGTTCAACACATCACGGTCCATCTTTTTAGAATACGACACAAATAACCTTCTATATTTGTAAATTTATACACTGCTCGCTTCGAGAGCATCCATTCTTTGTTGGCGCGTATAGGAATATGACTCTTGTTCATTGTTATTTGAAGACCATATTCGCGTGCTTCAATAGTGATTAAGTGTTCGATCCGAGTCAATATTGTATAAATCCTAAGGTGCTAGGACTATGCATCCATGCCGATGACCACATGCATCAATGTTTGTAAATAGAATGCATCTACTATTACGGCGTACGAAAGTTCTTCCTATGAATGATTCCGTATACATCGCGCGGTCACTGCGGCGATCTTTTGAACGTCGATGATGACAAAACTGGTGTTGTATTGCATAACAGATGTCAACCACGATTGTCAGCTAGAACGTAAACACGGGCGTGACGGCTGTGACATCTTTGTACATAGTGAGAGATGCTTGGGATGCTATGGGTCGTTAGTTAAAGCGTTGTTTACAAACAACTTTGTGCGCTATTTCATCTCAGAGTTGTTTGTTTACCATTCGGAGCCAACGAATGCATTCTGGCGCTACCATACATGATTTCAGAGAAAAATTAACTACACTGTGTGAAAGGGTACGCGTTCAAAAAGATTCTAACGAGTTTATTTGCTCGTCTCGTTAACCGGGTGGTTTGGGAAGTGAAAAATCACGCTTATCTCGGCATAAAACACGAGGAACGCCGGTCCACAGGCAGACATCTGTTCGTTGCACCCATATAGATAACGAACATGTACAAATGGAAACGTAACCATTCAGTGAGGAGCCCCTGCCCGCGAGCGCTTGTCTCCTCAACAATTGAATTGCGCGCGAAAAAAACAAATCGTCGGCCATTTTGCATATTTAGTAACGATGTGCTCCATATTCGAACGCGCGGTACGCTTACGCCTGTTTGATATTCTCTTTTGAGTTTTGGTTTATTTTTAATCGCGTTGTCCTATTTAATCCGTTATGCCAGCCGCTAGCGCTTCCCATCAGTCTTTGCGGCGTTCGTTGCTTTTGACGTCGTGTTTTTAATTCAACAGACAAAATGTTTAATATATAGTTAATAAATTAAAAAAGGTGTCAACTAATCACATATTCAATCGGAACAATGTAAATATTATCGCTAAACATCATCTCATAAGTGATAATGGAAATAAAAATTATGTCTTTTTATTCCAGATATATCCTGACCCGGAGTCGGAGAAGGCTATAATGGGTTCAGTGGTGTACTGCATCCACCACAAGGAAGGCTGTGCCAGTGGTCGGACGAGCTCCGCAAACTGAAGGTACGGGCTGTGAAACGTAAATATTTATTGAGATAAAGTTAAGAGGGCGTATCGTAAAGAGGACGTACGATCCATCATTTTTATTCTTTATCTCTAATAGGACACGTGCTGCCCTAAATATCGAACTCTTAAGTATATTTTCCGAAGTACTTAATCTACATATTTGATATGAACCAGATTGTAATAAAAGATTTCTTAATACCGCGTTTTGTTTTATCCATTCGCACAGACAGTATGTAGTTTGAATATGCGATAATTTATATATTTTAATTCTGATTTTTATGGTTTGGAACTATTGAGTCATGAAATTCCAGATATATGAATCAAAACTACGTCAGAAAACTATTAAGTGAATTGAAAACTTTGAAGAGAAATAATAGATTATTTGAAGGAACTGCTGTATATAATTTTCCCCAATATTCTCCAGGCGCACCTGAACCACCTGCAAGCACGGATGCTGTGTTGTGTGCAGCTCAGTGCGGGGCGATGATCCCCAGGGTGTTGATGCAGGACCACCTGCGGTACACCTGCTCCAGGAGGCGAGCCAACTGTGAACACTGCGGGAAGGAGTTCTCTGGGAGCGCGCTGGAGGTACGTCACTATATACATTGAGACGAACAATATGATAGGGAAAATTTGTTTTGATGCTTTGGAATTTCTCTATATATATTTTTTTGTTTTGCCATAGAAATAGGGGTTGGTGATAATAGGTAAAAAAAATTTGGGTTGTATGTATTTTTTTTTAATGCTATATCATATAGAAAAAAAAATTCGTCCGAAAAACTTAAAAAAAATTAAGGGAAAAACAACCCTTGTCACTTAGGGGTATGAAAATAGATGTTGGCCGATTCTCAGACCTACTCAATATGCTCACAAAATTTTATCAAAAATCGGTCCAGCCGTTTCGGAGGAGTTCTCTGTCTAACACCGCGACACGAGAATTTTATACATAAGATATTAAGGATAAAATAGGTCGCAGTGCTTATGAGAGTACTAAGTTTCAACAAATAATCATTAACCAACAGTCTGACGTAATAAATGTTTTTTAACATATATCATATGTTATTCCAGGAGCACCAAGGAAATTGCGGCCATGAGCCTGTATACTGCGAGAACAAGTGCGGGGCGAAGGTCCAGCGGCGGCACACTTCCCAACACGCTGCGCAACACTGCAGCAAGAGGCTGGTGCCCTGCAGACACTGCGGCCAGCGGTATACACAGGTCTGTGGGCTTGTCTGAAGGTGTCGCTTATGAGAGTTGAAATTTAATAGTTTTTCGGACATACTATGCACGCTTTATTTTTGTAAAAAAAAACTAAATGTTACAACAGTGAGAGTAAAATAGTATCATGATAAATAACAAGAATAACTGACAGACGTCCAAAAAGTCAGGAGTATGTAGTTTCATTTTAAATCGCGAAAATCTTAGATCACATTATGTAACTACCAGTTGTTCGTATGTTTTATATAAGTTGTTTCTTCCAGGACACAGTATCAGCTCACGGGGCCTTATGTTCCCGGGCCCCGGTCCCGTGTCCCCAGCGCTGCGCCGCGGCCCCGGCCCGGGACGAGCTCGACGCTCACCTCCGGGAACACTGCTCGGCTACCGCTGCTGTCTGCCTTTATAGAGACGCTGGCTGTCGGTTTAAGGTACATATAAATAGGTTCTTATACACGACCTTTATTAGGGTTGGCACTTGCTTCAATCTTCCATCATATATATAGGGAGCGTTTCCAAAGAGCTTTACTTCAGGGTTTAGGTTTAGAGATGATTTATTTCCCATTAAGAACAAAGTTCACTTACATAGGAAACTTAAACTAGTAACATAATAATAAACATTTATAAAGTTAATGGTGACCTTATTTATACAAACATTCAAATATTATAAAGTTTTGACAGTATGTTTTTTAATTTAGCCTTAAATTTCAAAAATGATTTTTCGTTTAATATTTCTTTAGGTAGATTATTGTACATTAGCGCTTCCTCAAATTGGCCTTCAAATTGGCCCTTAAACAAATTTTGCATGAGCACTACACAGCGTTTCCATTCATAGAGCTTGATGGATTTATGTATGAAATGGAATTATATGAAGTCTGTCGATGCAATCATATGACGGACGAATAATAATCTTAAAATGTATCTTCATGACCAAAATTTATAGCAAAAAATAAGCTTTGTAATTAATAAAGTTAGCTCTTGGTCTATAATATGATTAAACCTAACACAAATTTTATTAGTATAATTACGCGCGGGGTCAGTTGAGAGGTTCATTGATAATGCGAATTCCTATCGAGTGTTCATAGAAATGTATGAGGCAGTTAGACGAGAGGACACAAGCCGAGGCGTTGACACCGTTTACTAACAGTTATGAAATTAATTACTACAGATAACGTTAACTCGATAGTTCTGTTTCATTTTCTATTGAGAGCGAGTGTCAAATTAATAATATAGTTATTACTATTAGTTCACGCGTCGTATGTTAATGATTTGTAAAAGTTCGTTCTTATCTGACCGAGTTCGTTGGTAGGGACTACTTCTGATAATACTGGAACGCGTTGAGTTCACGCTCTTATAATAAAATATTTATTAATGATTATATTTATTTAGAACGTATTTATATTCATCAATCATACTTTCTCGATTATTTAAGGATATATTTTAGCTTAATTCTTTTTTCTCCCGTACAAGGGCTACGGCTCTGGTTCTAGGAATTTATTTAGGTTCTATTATAGTAGGAATAGGATTTTTTTGATAGGAATATTTTTTATCGTGTTCACGCTTCCCTCGAAACGAAGTAGATCTGTCTGACCGTCGCTTGTTATAGATTAAACAACTTATTTCCTTTTCGAACTTAAATCTTCAATAAGTATATAATCACGTGACTTCTATTCGTTTTTTTGCAAACTAGTTGGTCCATTGATCCTCAATAGAGTGAAAGTTATATAAATGACATTATCCATCAGGGCACGAGACAGGCTCTTGAACGTCACACAGAGGAGAGCGCCCAACAACACTTGGCCCTTGTATCAGCACTGGCCACGCGTCAGGCTCGACAGTTGGAGTCACTAAGGGCGGCTGTGGCGCGACTAGCTGTGAACTGTAGCGGGGCGCTGGTGTGGCGTGTTACAGACTGGGCAGCGAAGATGGCCGACGCTAAGGACCAAGGACGGGGTGGAACTCACCTCGCCCGCCTTCTACACCAGCCAGTACGGGTATAAACTACAGGTGAGCAAGGAAATAAACTTGGAACATGGCTTACACGCTACGGTCTACCGGAGAGGTCCACCTGTGCAGGAACACATGTTCGAATAAACCTGTGCAGTTTTTTGAACGCTACCATTGTTCGATTGACCTGCGCAGGTATACCTGCACAGATTATCTCTCTGGTAGACCGTAGCGTGTATATCCGGCATTATGCGAAACGTAAGTTTAAATAAAGACGCTCCTAAATTAAATTATATCTCTCCCCCACATGAGATAACGTCGATCAATCTTTATTTAACACTGTTTTGTAAACGATGTTAAGTTAATAATAAATGTGAATAACATCATGACTAATGTCGCTAATATCGCTCGGCTTACTCACGGTTCAGAGCTGTCCAGAAATAACTATATACTCAAGGTTACGTTTGTTTCTTCTTGCCAATATTGTATTTCAATGATGTAATCGGAATCCAAAATTTTATTAATATGTATATAATGATGAATAATATTGTTCCAGGCGACGTTGTTCCTGAACGGTAACGGCGCGGGTGAAGGCACCCACATCTCCGTGTACATCAAGATCCCTGCCGGGCGAGTACGACGCGCTGCTCCGCTGGCCGTTCGGTCCACTCGGTGTCCTTCACTCTGTTCGACCAGAGCTCGAGCCCGGAGCGCGCGTGCAACATCGTGGAGAGCTTCGTGCCGGACCCCACGTGGAAGAACTTCCAGCGGCCGTCCAAGGAGCCGGACGCGCTCGGCTTCGGCTTCCCCCGGTTTCGTGTCGCACGAGATGCTCAAGAAGAGGAACTTCGTGAAGGATGACGTCATGTTCCTCAGGGTCAAGGTGGACCCCAGCAAGATCGTCGCCGTATAGTCACGAGTCAGTCATAGGTTAAGTGTACATAGTCGAGTGGGCATTTGTTATGTCGGTTATAAGACTGGAAAACATTTTCTTTATAAAGCTGTCTCTTTAAAGCGCCGTCTCTGTCGCTAGATGGCACTGCTAAATATATATTATCTAAGCGGATATGAATGAATATATTTTTGTTATATTAAAATATGCCATTGTCGTAACTATATTTATTGTAAATAATTAGTTGTAAGGGCGGTCACGCTACATTGTTATCCTTTCACTGAAGATCTCTTGAGTTTCACTGCCGCGTGAAGATGTTAACGACCCGACTTATGGTTCACAATCTTTTTCTACCTGTATTTCTTCGTTTTCTTATATCTTTAGTTCCCGTTCTCCCTAACTGTGCCATATTGCTGAATTCTTTAAGTACTATATTTCTAATATTTGTTACACACAACTTTTATAGGACACTGCAAAAACTGTGTGTTGCTATAACAGCGTTTCCCCTTGCATTTTCTTTGGCCTTCAGACTCGATATAAAGGCGCTTTGAAGAAATGCAATGGACTTCATACTCTCTTGAAGCATGCTCGGTTTCAGTTACAGCGGCAGATCTTTTTGTATATAATTTCTTAATATCTTTGTATATATATACATTCGTCTTGTATATAGGTTGTCTGTCTTATTTCTGTGTTTTACAAGCTGGAGTTAGACCAAAGTGTTTTGATGACTTTGCGGTAGAGATAGTGATGTACATTTTTTTAGCAAAGTTAAATCAAATCGAAACGAATGATCGCGGCTAAAGCTGTTTGTAATTATTTTATATATAAGCGAACTATATCTAAAAAGTAAATTTATTTTCAAAATTATAAACCTACTTATGTATTAGTATGAATGTTTCGTTTCTATCTGTCGGATCTCTAAGACGCTTGTTTTTTGTATTATCTCAAATGTAAAGATACATTCCAAAAAAAAACACTATTGTAAGCCTGGTTTCTTGATTGTTTCTTTTGGACTAGACTTAAGTTTCATCTCGTCTGTTAGAGTCTAGGTTAGGTTAAGTAACTATTACAAGTGTTTGAGTCTAGCAATACAGGAATTTCTTGATTTCGTTTATAATATTTAGTCCCATTTAGGTTTCAATAACTCTAGATAACTAGTTAGCTTAGTGTTTTGTGACTTCTTCTATATTAGTACCTTATAAAACAAATGAGACTAACGATTTTGATTAAGTGTAGTGTTTTAAGTCGCGTTTACGCATCTAGCCTGTAACCTACGCAATGTAACATTTTACGTTTGAAGATGAAAAATATATATTTTTCCCTCATAATACTTTCTTTTCTTTTTCCCTTTAATTTCAATGCCTGAGCATAAAATTTGAGCTGAAAATAAAATGCGGTGCTCCATGTTTAATTGGTTATAACTGGGGTCACTGATCCAAATTCTGTATGATGTATCATTAAAAATAAATTTCTAATATTGATTTTGTGCTTTGGTATTATATATTTAGATTTTACGATACGTTCAGTTGACTTAAAGACAGTATCAAGATATATATAATAGAGTAATTTGAAACTGATTTTTAAAATATGTACATTCTAAAAAGTTGTCAAAGAAAATTTCTTTTTTTTGGATTAAACAACCATCTTTTCGATGTAACCATTCTTTATTAACCTTTCCTTTATCCTCTAAGAATCAAAATTATTTTTTTATTTATTATTTAAGACCTATTGAAATATTGAATGAATGTACACCAATATCTTATGTGACACATTCTTCTACAGCAAATGATGTTATGAGAAAAAGTTTACTAAATATAGTAACTGATTGGTTTTGCAATTAAATATTTTATTAATAGTAACATTAAAAAAAATACAATTATCAATACAGAAAATTTAATTCTATAAAGTAAAAAATAAACTTTTATTAATTTTCATTTTAATAACATAAACTTAATCTAAACTCATTATTTACATATATATCAAAATAATAAATCGTTTACAAATATCAGTTACCACAAATTATAAAACTAAATTAATGACAAATTTATACATTTCATTTATTGAAAATTATATTAAAAATAAATATATATAATATACACAAAATGTTCAAATTTATTTACATGAATCCTTTCAATACACACCATTAACCGGTAATGTTTGCACATAGGATATCTGCATATTATATTTTTTGATCAAGATGTAAAATTCAACTCGGAATACTTTTTACTATGTTTTCTCTATACCAGTTGATGATAATGTCAAGTGTTTTGAGAAGTTCCCGACTGACTGAAGGTGGAACTGTTCAGAGTGGCCGGTATAGTTTTTTCTGCTTGTCTGAAATAAAAAACAAACCATTGTAGACATATGTGAACATATTTTCCATACAATAAGCAATATAAAAGTGAGTAACATCTGGTTGTAATTTGTCTGTGAACATTTTAAGTGTATTACTTGTAAAATATATTTTTTATTTTGTATAATAAGATTTAGTTATGTACGCTCAAAAAATGTAAACATTTATGTAAATAATTTTATTAAGTGAATATGTAATATTGTTTATGAAACAATACAATGTCTTAAACCATAATATAGTTAAAATACCATTTTGATTCTATACAATTCATCCATGGCCCTCCGGTAAAATTGGTTTGACTGAGTTTTATTTCCATCATGGTAAGGTGATCCAATCTACCGTACGACCCTCCAGACTTCATAAGTGCATCCATAGATGTTCTTAACTTTGACATGCGTATGTCCCAGATATCCTTAATTATAGTTTTTTATCTCAGCTGCCCGCGGAATATCTTCATTTGCTGCTCCGAGGATGAGTTTTAGCTTCAACCATGTAATGTTCATTTGGCATTTTGGTGAAAAATCTGATATTAAATAGAAATGAAATATTAGAAATAGGGATTTAAGAAACTTTAGGAACATGGTAATAAGTAGTAACTTATAGTATACCTCGATTTTTTCTCTTCTTCTTTAATACCTTCTAAGATCTCTATGTCCATCCAGTCCCGGTGGGACTATTCGACACTTTTGCTTTTGTTTTAACATCACAGCTAACCACAGCGGCACATTCATTGGTAGACCAGCACGGAATGGCCCGAACTCCCCACATATTAAATAAATTTTATCATAAGAAAAGTTTGGTATTATGCTCACTATCCTATTTTCACCAATAAAACTCAATTTCATAAGGATCCATAATAAAAAAGTACAACAATATATTAATAATAAACGAATCAGATAAACTTTAATAGTGACATCGAATTTTATCACTAAACAGATATTAAAATAATTTAAAAGCTACGAAAAAAAATATTCTCCAAGTGCCAAAAAAGCGCGGGAAACTAACAAGTAACAACTTACTATTGAATAATGAATTCTATTCACCAATGACAGTTGAAAACAGGGACAGAGTATATTATTGAGACATTTTTTTTTTGGTTATGTTCGTTCCGTTCAGAACAGGCAAAGAGAATAAAGCCCATACAGCCATGTCTTTTTTTGTATATTTAATTATTTTTATATGTCTTAATCTCCTTTTTTTATTCTTGATTCAAGTTTTTTATATCAGGCCTGAGCTATGTCTTCTTTTAATTGTCTTCTTAAATCATTTTTTTAATTTTAAGGCCAAAGCCATGTCTTCTTTTAATTTTTCTTCTTGAATCATTTTTTAAAATATAAAATCCGAAGCCATGTCTTTATTTAAATTTTTTTTTTGTCAAATTCTTGTTTTTTTTTTACATTCCGTCTTTTTTCAATGTCAAGTCCTTTTAAGTACAATTCATTTGTCACTATCGATAAAACGGTCAAAATTCTGAAAATAGCTGAAATAGCTGAAAAACAAATATTTTAAACAAAACGAAAAAATTTTTGTTATATACATATGTACATATAACAATTAGATTTCATTTATAGTAGAAGAAACAATAAAGCCATAAACTGGCAACAAGCATTCTTGAATGCTTAGTATTTGCTGAAGCGCGGGATATCTTCAGCAGTTTTAAAAATACTTAAAAGTTGGTCTACAAGCACCATCGTTTGAATACTATACTGTGGACAATCAAAAAATATATGTTCGAGGGTTTCATCAGCACTTGCAATATCTACAAATTGAAGAGTCAAAAAACACCAATCCTAAAAAGGTGAGCACCAAAACTACAATGTCCCAGACGCAAAACGACAGATTGTAATATAATACTTTCTATGGCTATAGTTACTACCCCGGGTAAACCAGGGGTAAGAGACCTTTTTCTTTATTGTAGCGACCATTTTCCTTTTACCTTTACCACCTGATTGCCACAAGTTGTAAAATTCTTTTCTGTAAGTTGAGTTTGTAGAGGGATAGAGCGTCTGAATAAGCTATTGGGAAATTTAAAATGCTATGACTTAATTGATTGTGGGCCGGATTTGTAATTAATTTAGCTAAATAGTTTGCTCGCTCATTGCCATGCACACCAATGTGGGCTGGTGTCCAGAATAGGACTATTTGCTTGTTTTGAAACAGCAGGTGATACAACTCTCTTATTTTATATATAATATAGTTAGTTTTTGAATTTAATTGTGGATTTTGTAGTGCCGTTAATAAACTTATATAATATACTGTATACACAGCTATGGATTCAGCGGAGTATATGCTTGTGAGTGGATTCAACCCTATGGCTGAATCCACTTTTGATTTGACTATCATAGACAGCTATAGAGACTGCTGTATATATCTAATGATATCCCTGCCCCCTATCAAGTTCCATATAAATGTCTTCCTTATACTTTAGAAAGACTTTTGACTACAATTTTAATCTGCATAAATTTTGATTGTTTACTCTACAAGGCCATACCATCCTAGAAAAATATTGTGTTTATTAAAAATTTCTTCTGTTTCAGAAAAAAGCGTGAAACAAATATGAATTAATATTGGCATTCCTGTTAATAGTGGCCCTCAGTTTAACAAGAAGTGGATGATTACTAAGGGAGAGCAACCTTGCAAAAAATTTTGATTGTAAGTATCTAATTTA